CTCGCGAATACGTCTGGCAGCTAGGTCTCGTTAAGCCGCAACGTTCCGATTCCGAGTGGCTAAAATCCGCGCGTGGCGTAATATCTCTGGAGAACCTGCGATCTTTCTGAGTGAGTCGAAATAGCTAGGACGCATTATGACGATTTTTTGACATTTAGTATTTCAGCATAAGTTTTGTCAAATGATATCATACGTGTGGATATCCCGTTCCTTTGGTGAGTACATATAACGTAATGTGTACACAGGGATAGTTCTGCTAATACTCATATTAATCAAATGCCCTATCAGCACACATTGGACGCCAAGTTTGGCAATAGCTGATGTACGTTTCTTCGTATTGTGATTGACTCTACTTTGTCGCCTCTTTGAACTGTCCGGCAATGTCTTCCGTGTTTCTCTCTCCTATCTTCATTTTACATGTTTTCAAGCGGCAGCGAAGCGCCGTTACCGTGCACAGCTGACACATTATTTATAATAATAATAATAATAATTAGTATTACTATTATTAGTTACATGTTGTCACCATTTGCCACAACTTTGCTGTAGTGCATATGTGTCCAGTGAGCACTGTCGTTTTCTTAGTTCCGGTTCTTCTCTTTATTGGTTTTTGTCAAGAAGTCTCCTTCAGTCCTTTTAGCTATCCACGGTACTTTCAAACTCGTCCTCAGAAACCACCTTTGGGTTGCTTCTAACAGTGCTTCTACACTTTTGCATTTTAATGTCGCAGCCAACAGCAAACATTACAAGTATGCTTACTACGTGTCTTCTCTTATAATCTCATCGCAGTCATGCAAGATTGAACATAGGGTTACCAATTATTCACCGTAACTGCTTGCGTCGTTTTGTCGAACAAGACCATTTACTACCAATTATGTAACGGAGTAAGAGAACAAAAACAAAAACAGTGTGTATAGATTACATATTAACAATTTACGATGACATGTTTCAGGATTGTGTCCATCTGCAAATAAGTAGTGTCGGCAGCAACCCCTTGGAATACCTGTCATTTGGATTTATCGCATCAACTCAAAATGCCACTCTACCTACACGTTTGATTTTTCAATGCACTATTTCAAATAAAACTAGGGGACCAAGTAAATTGAAAAGCCATTTAAAAATTGATTCTAAGAACGAAGGAGGAAAGTTTGTGGAATTTTTCGGAGAGCTGTAGGATATTATCGAAAACCGACCAGCTTTGAAGACAATGGTTTCTGACAGAACGAAAAATGGCGAATGGGCTTTTGGCGTCTTATAAAATTAGCAAGTTGATTGCTAAAAGTTGCAATCCACTTGATGTTTCCGAAAATCTTATCCTGCTTTCATTATCAAAAATAATGTATGAACTGACGATTAGGAATTCAAAAGAAATAGTTCAATCCATTCCGGAAGATTTAAAGGACCTATAGCCCATCTAATAATGTTATCCCTTCTGTTCATATACTTCATTGTGTGATTCATCGAGAGCACCTGGTGGCTAGGAATTTGGGAGGAGGCTCAAACGATTCACTGTCACCGGGTATGAGAGTTGCCAACACTATCAAAGAGAACCCTATTCACGATCGTCTTTTCCATGCTCTACCGTGGCACACAGAAGTTAGATGGCTCTCCAAGGGTAAATGACTTCACCATTTTGTTGCGTTCTGGACATTATCATCACATTCCTTTCTGTAAACTGATTATGAACAAGAACTCTTAATAGCTAGGCCAAATATGTTTATCTGGCTGTCGTTCGGGAAAAATAAAACTTATTAAGAAAATCCTTCAAACCAAGTTGCGCAATTTCATCTCGAGCATAGAAATCGTAATCACTCAAAACATTCGGGAATTTTCATAGTTCCCAATTCTTACTGCAATCACGGAGTAACTGAAGGATAAATGTTTCATTGTTTATGTCAGTCATTTACAACCAATGCAAACAAATAAACGATAGGTTCCATGACCCGTTTGACTCAGAAATCCCGAGTTGGATTTTAGATCCATTTGATGTACATCCCTGCAATGTCTTTTTTAAATCTATAACAGCCTCATAGTGCTTCAAAGTGACACACCGGCAAGGCACAAATTCACGCGATTTAAATGGGACTTCTTTTGGGTAATGACTGATGTCGCAAACAGACTTCACAGACTGTGTGAAATAGCTGAAAATTATTTCCTTGTTTTTCCATCCGCATACTTGTTTGAACGTGGTTGCAGCAGAGGGGTTTCGCTAACCAAAGAGAAAAACAGAATGGACTTCGCAGCAAAAACAGATATTGCGACTCTCGTTTTCAAATCCGGATCAGGGCATAAGCAAGCTTGTTCAGTGAGATCAGGCTTAGGCTCGCATAAATATTTTGACAGAACAATTGCTAAGACGTTATTTTGTAGCTTACTTCATCACATATTTCACAGCTAAAAACTGACAATAGTTAAAGGCAATATTAACCAGTAAAGATGACTTTCGTGTAAGTATAGACAAGGGATTTGATTTTGTCGCGCAACGGCTTGATGCTGTGAAAGTTCGAAAATACTTTATCTTAGAGAAAGAGCAATGATATCAACATTTACAATTTAGCCACCAAAACAAAATGTACCAATATTACCACTGGAATTCACAGATTCCTCATCTGTTAGACGTTGCGGATTGTTGAAATTGTGGTAATCAAGGGTAGGGAGCCATGAGAAATGGAAAGGTTGGAAGAGGGACCACGAGCGAATAAAGGTTGAGATGGTCTGCTTTAGAGGACAATGTTATCTGGTTACTGCTGCTATGGACTCCAATTTAGGTTCGGAGGTGAGATGGAGTAAGTCCTTGTCCATTTTTATTGGATCTTCATTATGGAGATCGGGAGTACAAATGCTAGCTACTTTCAAATATGTCGGATCGTAGTAGTGTAGTGCGCTACGGACTCACGGTGGGTTTGTGTACTTTCGAAAATTTATGAGCATTGGTCCATACAATCTGTGGATCTGAGTCTTTGATCATCGTTGATGCAGAGCACGGCTCATGTCGGACGGTAGAAGCGTACCTAGAACGACCACGTGGTTAGGCGAGCATCATTCGGTGATAAGCAACTTGATTACTCAGATAGATAACGTTTACAACGTTGCATTCTCTTAGGCATATATTACCTATATCCGATCAACACTTACCGAAGAAAACCTTGATTTTTACCCGATATAAACTCGCACTAGCTTTGAGGTGCGCAGTTCTTCCCTGGACAGCAGAAAATAAAGTCACCGACGACTGGACTGGTCACAGTTTATTCGTCTTGCCATTCATATAAAGGTATATAAAACCTACCTTGTACTTTGCATAATATTTTACGGCGCATGGAGCGCAGTTAACATCAGTAGCCCGCTTACCTTCTTTTTCCAGTTGGATAACCTGTTTAAATTTAGGCTGATGCTAAGTTAGCTGTAAGGTAATGGCTAATTATGACGAGTTGCAGTCAAAGCCAAAGGAAATTGGTCTCACCGATGTCATCTTGAGCTTGCACTGTGGCTTTTCGTGACCATATGGCTTTGACATGTGAGCTCCTTCGTCCTGAATATTTGCTTATGACATTTAGGCATTATAGCAAGCCCAAGTTCTTTCCTTCGTATTGTCTTTCATTACACAGTTCCTTTCAGTTGTACGTCAACGAACAATCAGTGCAAATTGCTTATATACTACTGCTGCCGGGGCTGATGATGATATTAAAAAGATGGCCGCATCAGACTACTCTATCAATATCCACAAGCAATTTAAGTTTAAGCTGATTTTTCTCGACGCCATTGCAGTCTGTCTTGAGCTGACGATATCGTAGTTTATTAACGCCTTTAAGTCGTTCTCTTAAAAAAGTCATTTTGCGGATGAAGTGCTCCTAGTCCACAGTTAGGTGTTCTGGCAGCGAAATTTCCGTACGTAGTCTTTTGCGTCATAGGATTGGAGAGTTTCGAGTCGGCTACTCATAAACCTTTCAAGTTTAGCTAGAAGCGCTGCTTATTCTATTGTCTTTATGGTTCACTAATTCCTAAACTTGTCGGCAGCAAACAGAAGATTTTTACTGACTACCCTAATGAAAGTGTTTTTAAGACCAAAATTAAGCCTGCCATTAGCACCGAATCTTGTGGATACCACAATGCACTTTTATTCGGTCAGACAGGTAGATATTAGCTCACGTATTCAAACGAAGTTTGGGAAGGCATGTATCCGTGCCAAGTTAAAACCACAGAATCCATAGCTTTGAATCCTAAACAACAATGCGCTGATACAGAAGGTCAAAAACTTTAAAGTAACATTTGGATATTTTATCAGCTCCTTCCACATTATCGACAAATTCATTTCAAGCAGCCCTAGTTATCAGAAGATTTGTGGTAAATGATCGACAAGTTGACGGCGCATCCCTCAAAATATCCAGTGAATGCTTCGCTAATGGTGGTCACTATGGCTGCACAACCTACCGGAAACAGAGCAAACGGATGGCGATCTACGGGATTAGCATGCAGTTACTGTATTTGTGAAAGTGGCTATTTCTTTTATTGTTATCGAGACAGCGCTAATGTACAGAACATAGTTCCAGTCAAATTTCTTGCAAATCTCAGTAGTTACTTAAAGCGTACATTGCTTGCATCATTAAAACTATGGTTGAAGTAAGTTTTTACCATTGTTCTTTTACATTAACGCTCCGCGTAAATGTGCCGAAAGTCAAGCCAGGCAGCGAAACCATGACTTTAGTCAGCCTTAAGAAGGAGGAATAATTCATGAAAATGGTTTTCGATATGCTGCAGTATCGGTTTCCTTTGTTCCACAATGTATAACTATAAACATGCTAACGGGCGCAAAGCTCAATACATGGGATATTAAGAACTTTGGCAGCTGATGTGATGATCCGCTCGTTGACGGTATGGCAGCTATAATCGATACCCATTTTTAAGTTCCAATAATCCACTCAGTGTCTATTCGTAAGGGACCAATAAATACACTTCTGCAAAACATTATTGAGCTCTCAAAACTGTTCACATCTGTTTCCTGATAGATGTTTCGGACACGCGATTATCTCGGTGAAATTTGCAAAGCGATACGGTGGCTTGAGGAAAACGAACAGCGCAGTGGAAAGCATAAAAAATCCTCCAGACGATTTCAGTCTCCAGTTGGACTTCGGTTTGCATCCGACTTACGCTCACGCCGACTGCCTTTTGATACGTCAAACGTTGCTGTAAAGAAAAAACGAATTCCAACGGATGAACCTACACATTCAGATGACGTTTCTGTAACAGCGACCCCAGCTCCCTTTATCAATCCAAAAGAGGGCAAAATAATGTTGAAAATGCTATCTGAGGCCAGTCGAATTATTGAATCAATGAACCTGTACTCGGAAGTAGGTTTCCCCTTTATTCTTTTAGCTGAATCACAGTGGTTTCGTGTCATATGTGTCGTGCTACTGCATGATTTCTTATCTGCTGAATTTTACTATTGTAGATTAGTAACAGGTCAGAAGGAAGTGCTCTTCGATCGCTGTCGATTCAAGTGGAATAGTGCTGATTTTAGAAAAGTAAAATAGCCGATAATTTATTCAGTGGTCCACACGAACAACAAGCAAATGACGTGATGATATAGCCATAATTGATGTGCGATAAACAGAAGCAAGCGCAAAGGAAAAGATGGGATAAAGTTTAATATATAACGCGACACTACCTATGGACGCAGTGCAGTATTTATGGCATGCTTATATTGTTGACTCAAGGCTAATTTTCAGATAAGTAGTAGTTTCGACATGTGTAAGAATGATGTTACTTCAATGTCCAGACCAAGTATTCCTAAACAGGCCAATAAATATACGTATACTGAGGCAACATGAGAGTTTAAGAAAACGTAGCTGTGTGATCAAAGGTGACCTTACAAAGAAAAATGATTTACTATATTCATAAGTTCCAATGACACTCGTTTTGGTCTTAAACAGAATTGAAAATAATCAAAGACTGTGTACATTGAGAAACTTTTTGTTTTTGACAGTCAGAATCAGAAACGTGAATCAGTAGACAGCTGAAACGGCGCTTCATAGCGAATTAGGACGACAATTGCGATAACTGGGACATGCATCGTTGTGTTAGTGAAATCACACATCAGGATGTCACCGCAAGTAGTTTCAAACCTAGCGGCGTTTGTCCGCGTGTTTCTTCGTACATAATCACATTAACAAATGAGCCGCTGGTGGTGGTGATGTGGAGACGATTTTCGCTTTGCAACCGTATCCGCACACTTACGCTGATCATACTAGCTACATTGAGATCGCTCGCCATGCAACCGAGAGTTTCATCCTGTCCGTCCTGTTGAAACACCAGTTGCTTTTGGCGAATTCGATCGCTACGGGCCCTTTTCGGTATACTCTTCGTGAACATTTGTAGGGTTCGTGCTTTAACTGAAAATTTTTCTGATGACTTCTTGACCTGTGACTAAAATAGCATCTTGATGCATGTTTTATTTAATGCAATTATTATTGTACTGTGCTATACGCTACATTAAGTGTAGACTAACTAGCTTGGCCTGACTTTGCTTCGTGTAATAAAGAAAAGGATTTGTAACAAATACACCAAATTAATGTTTTCAAACTGCGCTGTTGAACTTTTATGTCGAAGACTTCGAAAAGAGGGTGATAATAAACACCACTATTTCACCAGACGTTTGGGGGCGTTACGTAGACGACACTTATGTAATTGTTAAAAGGGATAATAAGTGGGAGCTAACTGACCATCTTATCTCCACTGACTGGCGGATACATTTGACCACTGAGTTGGAGTCTCACAGCGATAAAATACCGTTTCTTGGCTGCCAAGTTCACAATAATGTAGTAAGTTCAAAAGTGACCATATATTGCAAAAGTACTGATATTGATAAGATACCCGATCGCACTTCGGGTCATGGAAACCACGATGGGATAGACAACGCGTTTTTCTAATGGACACAATTCCTGTGTACGGCGGATGAAGACAAAAAGGTGACGTAGAAAGCGGCTATTGGCAAACGATTTGGTAAGGTTTACTCACAGCGGCTAATCAGAAACAACTTACTAAAATGATAAACGACAAGTACTATCAACAATGGAGTGGATAGGCACGATGGGATTAACTTGTAAGGCAGAGACTTCGGCAGCGATTCGGAGGGTTTTCCCGCATTCGCGTGATCTACCAGCGGAGCTAAACACTACGTTCAACGCTAGTGCAGCTGAAACACCCACATTCAAATGATAGGACAACTAACTGCGTTAAATACTTTAATGTGAAAACTGTGCAAACATATATATAGGCCAAACCGAGGGGGAACTGTACATTCAATGTTCAGAGCACTAAGGCGCATTTCAGGACCACTGATGCATGGGTGAAATGCCGAGCATTATTAGGCGACTCAGCCTTGTTTGTACATCCATTAGACACGAGTCACCAGATCGACCTAAATAATTTGGAGATCATTAGGAGGGGTTTAGCAGCAGGGCCCCGGTAGTTGATTGTCGTGGCGATCGGATTCGCCAAAAGCGACTGATGTTTCAACAGGACAGACAGGATGAAACTCTCGGTTGCATGGCGAGCGATCTCAATGTAGCTAGTATGATCAGCGTAAGTGTGCGGATACGGTTGGAAAGTGAAGATTGTCTCCCCATCACCATCACCAGGGGCTCACTTGTCATTGCGATTATGTACGAAGAAACACGCGGACGAACCCCGCTCTGCTTGAAAATACTTGCGGTGACATCCTGATGTGTGATTTTTACTAACACAACGATGCATGTCCCAGTTATCGCAATTGTCGTTCTTATTCGCTATAGAGCGCCGTTTCAGTTGCTTGCTGTTTCACTTTTCTGATCTTGCTTGTGTCAAAAGCACAAAGCTGCTCAAAGCACACATCAAGCGATTATTTTGAGGCATCACTGAACTCACGACTTTTTGATCGGTGCAAATGCCATCCATGGCTTTAAGAGGTGCTTTAGGTTTACCGGGTGGTGCGTTATGTTATTTTGAACTACCATTCAGTAACATTTTCTATGCAATTTTCTCTTGAATGTTGCTGTGCTTTTACTTATGTTTGTGCATTTCTTGTCAGCTGTGCAGCCAACACTGATGCAAACGGTTTGAATGGTTCTGATGCTATTTTGGTTTTCATTGCGAAGGTAACCTAGAGCTGTAAATAGACTTAAGCGGCTACTGAACACAGATAACAACGGACGAATTGGTCACAGTATAGCTTTGCTGCACGTAGGAAAAAGGCAAGGGAATGTTAACACAACAGTTGACAAAACATGTCCAGTTGTTTAGCAGTACACAAGGTTACAATAAATAACTTTTCCTCACTTGTTGACAGTTCTTAGCACAACGGCAATATCTCGCATAACCAACCCACAACGATATCGAGGTACAAAATGTCATCATGGAGTCCGGTTTACTACTTTGTTGCATTTGTTTACCTGGTTAACAATACTACGGAAACTTTCTCAGCAAAGTATAAGGGATAGCTGTCACCACGCTGTTCACTACTGACTTCCCAATGAATGTATCCAGTATTTACGTTAAAGGTTAAAACTCATAAATACCCGACGGCCGTCATTCTCACAATAGAAGGTGTTATCAATGGAGCTCGAAATGTCTCCGAGCACAACCCAATATCAATGACTCCTTCAACTTTAAGGCGGTAAATGAAATAGAATGGATTCGAAACAGGTGCTTTTATCTATACTGATAATCCAATACCCAACTATGAGAGGTTTGTGGTAGGAGTAGGTCACATTGAGTGAGCGTTCTAGGCTAATGTGTTTTAAAGTCGCAGAGTAAGATTACGGGGCAAAAGCACGGTTGAAACTGCTACGCAGCTGACGAGTGGGGAAAATCAATTTGGAAACACGCATGATCACCTTCGTAACGGCAACTTAAAATGGTGGCGGAAAGCAGCAACAGACCTACTTGTGTCGAAAATCTGCTAACTTCTCCGATTTAGTTTTAGGCAACTATGTTTCTGTAAAACAGCTGGGTAAATTGTCGGAGTGCCGTATGTCACCGTTTATAAGCTGATCGGTGTATAAGCGGTCACTATGATATCGCAAAGTCCAATTTGTCCAAAATCGTAAGTCCGTGTATTAGCCGCCCCCAAAAATCAGCAAAAAGAGAAACGAAATTGTTTCTCACGATTCTGACTTCATCACTACCTGCTCTCACTTGATTGTGCTGAAGCGAAAGTTGCTCTGCCATTAGTCAGTCCTGGCGACCTGATGTGTCCTGATCGCAGTCAATGAAGCTTAGAACCGTCAGAACAAAGATTTTAACGGCACAGATGAAGATTTTCACCCTGAGGTGCCAATGACAGATGACCAGAATGAGAAAATGTTTAGAGATTCTGACTCCGATTCTAGTTTCGAAGGATTCGAGTAATTTTTATATCGTCGTGCAGCGTTTGGGTATGTGAGCCCATAAAATCTACCGGTACGTGGTGTTCTGTCGTGTCCTTTTCCAATGCTAATTTGTGTAATCGTGTTCGTTTATGTACACTCAGTACTTTTGCTTCTGCCATCCGTCACGAAATTCAAATATGCAATATACAGAAAATTTTCGACACAAACATTATGTGTCTACCTATAGGCACTTCAAAGCCCCGCCGGAGATACGGTCTGCCACTAATCGTTCTCTCCACTACATACATGAAAAAGTATCCAAACTTCCTATGCTTATACACGGTAATATATGGCAAATCAATGGGTTGATAGGTTTTGAAGGAATGAATATCAACTTCGTTACTGTACATTTCACAGTATTTTAGACTATGAAGACTATCAGGAATTTTCGTGGTAGGCATCATAGCTAACTAACTAGAAACTACGAAGTGCCTAAAGGCACCACGCCACTAAGTTCTGAAGTTTTCTGCATCAAAAAGTCATATACCAGCTAACCCGGCTCAGTTGTCAGAAAAAACCAGTCTTTCTATTATGAAGAAGTGTTGAATTCGTTTTGTAAGTTAGCTTTTATTATTGTGAACGAGGCACTGTAACTGCTAATCTGAAGGGATGCTAGAGTTTTGAGCACGTTGTGGCGATCGTAAATAAAAGGGTATAACCGGTTCTGTGATGAACACCCCCGATTACAAGCCACTGAAATGCCGAAATCTCCGTTAAATGCTATAGTTAGTCAAGGCTCTACACGTTACTGACGACGAGTGATCCACGTGGGTGCTAGCACGCTGAACAGCCCGGTAAGTATCCACCACCACATCGATCTAGTCAGAAGCTCAGCTGCGTTAAACAAAATCCTGCAATAATGGAGCCAATGCGTCGTTGTTATTACTCTATGCTCGCAACTTAAAATTAGTTCATTTCCGCGAGTACCTGCCTATGTGTTTTACATTTCCATTTCGGTAGCGCAACCAAGCGGATGTAATCTGTTTCCCTGATATAAAACAGAGTACTACTTCATTTGGGTATGTAGAGAGAGGAAACACAGCAGCCAAAGTATGTCACTGAATACCAGGACAGGTTGATTCTGGAAAGGCTGTCGCATAAAAACAAGTCAGGAGCTTGTTCAATATGAAGACTTCAAGTCAGTTTAGACAAAGCCACAGTGGATAGCGCGTTAGCCCTACATAAGATGCAGTTAGAACACAAGATACCTGACCTAGGTTGTCACGCAATAACGCCAGATATTTGTACTAGGGTTATTTCTACAAGTAAAGTTTGCTTTTTGTCTAAGGAAAGCTAACATATATCTCCGTGATGGATTAATGACTGAGTCAGCGTCTGTAATTGAACAGTACTTTCTGATTTACAGCAAATCGACTCGCAACCACATTGGGCGCATTCAAGTGACTCAGTGCAAATTCATTTTTTCATTCAAACCAAAGATGAAATCACGTTATCTTGCATCATTCCCTAGGGCACCCGAAGTTACTATAGTGGATTGAACGCTTGGATCATTCGCAGCGTTGCTATGGACTGCAAGTAAGCTGGCCAGTAACCTTTTCCTTCTGATTAAGAAATCACTTCAGGCAAAAGTATTTTTTTAATATCGACTGTATCAGTGCTGCATATTTGACCCAGATTTAATGCATCAATCATTTGGATTTGAACCTACAACTCATTACGTACTTAACTAGTTCTTTTTACGAAGTTCACCTGGCTACATGCGAAGGGTAATTTAACTTGGGAGCAGACTGCTTTAGACTGATACCAGCTGTTACTTGGCATTTTGATACAGTACGTCTTATGGAAATGGCAGGCTAGTCTTTCATTAAGGTTGGTGATATTCCATCCGTTTCGAATTGCAGAAAGCTTTTCTTTTTGACTGTCTACGCTGAACGGCTTATCTTGGACAGGCTAAGAATCCTACATTAATAAATGCAACAACGGAGAATCTTCGCTGTAAAATTCTGTGTTTATATTGCCTCCGCTGATTATGCTTCTTTTTGGTAATCCTTTTCATCCACTTGTGACGCTCCAGACAAGTTGGCTTAATAATATTTGATATTAAGATTAGCGATAGCACGTTTTTAAATGTTTAATTTCCACTTAGATTGAACTGAAGATATAATATTCCGGTGCAATAGATTTTGAGATAAAACACAGTTTTTACCATCGTCACCGCAACTAGGTAGTTCACACGTGTAGCCAAACGTCGTCGCTTGGTGAGAGGGTTACCCTTTACTCTGCACGATAGTAACGTGCAAGTCAGTGGATAGTGAGCGGCGCTATATCATTCTAATAAGTTATTCACGATGGTCGTTGCCGTCCCCCGTAGCTCAGTGGTCTCAACCACGGACTAGAAACAGTTGGGTTGCGATTACTAGCCCTACAAGGGTCCGATGGAATGCGCACTGCTGACGGTTCCCGAAAGGATGAAACGCGCGTACAGTGCTTTTCCGAGCGTGTGCCGGTTGTCTGAGTGAGTCTAGATGTGAAGAATTTCTACCTATACCATATAACTCCCCCTGCTACTCTTCTGTAAACGTTAGTTTATTTCTAAGTTATTTCGAGTTTGATCAAAACAGGGACAACCAATCGTGAGACTCACTTTTCTGTCCCTGCTCGACGACACACGTTTGATTAGAAAAAAAAGAAGCTAACGGGATAGTGCCGAAGCGGCTGTTTACTCTATCCTCAGGGTACGCAGATAATACCGAGCATTCTAATCCACTGAAATGGAGTTTCTGAGTTCGGTGATCAGGCGCAATGAACTGTGTCCGGTGAGGTCTAAGCAACGGGCAACATGTAGGCAAATAATTATGCGAATTCCGTCACATACTAGTCAGCTAATTTTGACTGTGCGTTGTTGGTACTCTGAGACGCCTTTTCTGGGTTGCGTGCTTACGTTTTATCGGTTTTCTGATAATTTCCTAAGGTTCTGATGCGGAGTCCAAGGTTCGAGGATTGTATAAGACGTGTGAGTGTCAACTTTAGTTGAGCTCAGCCCATTCCAGCCAGTCAGCCTGTTCTAACTTGAACCTTGATAAGGGCAATATTCATGATAATGACTTGGAAACGTTGAATCCCGTGTGGATAAATTATTATAATATTTTCCAAACTCTAAGTTGTTTATAATAAGCAGCAGGAAAGCTTCTCGCAGATTGTGTTTATTTTAATTTAGCACTTTAACTTTAAATAAACCTGCATAATTTTTTAAAGGCCCCTGCTAGCAAGGTTCTGAAAGCTGCTAACCAATGCATTTGGGATCGTAACTTGAGGGAAAACACTGAGCTTCATTGACTAGTCCACTAGAAATCGCGGTTTATGAACATTTTTGCCACAATTTGTTAATGCCGGTATCCATGCTTCCGAAATGCAAACCGGGCATATTGGACCTCCAACTATTATGAGGTCGCTGATGCTGCTGCAATTTGTTTGTTCACGCGTACCAGTTAGGGACTCTAATATTGGGACAAGAAAAGTAAACAGAAGGTTCAAAATAAATGCATTTGAATTATCCCGTTAAAATAAACTTTTCTGCTATTTTGTCATTTGTAAGTAAATTGCCACATGGTAGTTGAAATATAACTAACCTAAGTGGAGATTTAAGCTGAGAAATCAGTGCTTCAATCATTAAGCGAAGAAACTTAACGGATGGTTAATCAAACTTGCCTTGCTTGTTATCTATTACAACTAACAACGGTAACCACAAATTAGGAGCTGAAAATCGTTCAGTACTATTACAAATTAGTAATCTGTTAACCAGGTCGCTCAATCATATTTAGCGTATATCCGTTTTCCTCCATCTGGCTTTGTAGCCTACCCCTAGCAATCATTTCGGAGACGCTACACAGACGTATATGAACCTAATGATAGCCTTGTACCAATACACCATGAAAATTTTTATAAAACATAGTCGGTATTGGAGCGGTCATTTAGGACATGTATCTAAATGGCTGCTTGTAGTATGATTGGCGTCAAGCTAAATAAGTTACTGCTTAATCTAGGTTTCGTTCTTTTATTCTTGATAGCTGTAATGAACTGAACGGCAGGATGCTAATTCCTGACTTGCAAAGATCCACCTCCAGTCGAGACCATACAGCACAAGAAATGAAGCAAGTGTTCAGACAGGATACTGCCCAAATATACCAAGTTAGTGACAACTATTTACATCGGATATCAGCTTCACATTTTCCTCTATATAAGAACTCACATTGCGGGCGCTTAACGGCAATAGTTACGATATCACTGTGTCGTTGTGGCTGTTGATTCCGAGGAACCAGTTTGTGGTTAGTCTGTATCATCTCTGAGGTGTTGGTGTTTTTAACCTTTAAGCAAACTGCTGTAAACACGTACGTCATTTTCCCTTGGAAAAGATTAACACAACAGCGACCAAGATGACCTAACTGCTTCCGTGTTATTGGAAGCATACACAACTTGGAAGCATACACACCTTTTGATTCTATGCCCCTTGTCTTGTCGCATGGTGTAGCACACGTTTACTCATCCTTTCAGTGCTAGGCCCTGGGGAATAGCTGATCCGGGATAGCTGAAAAGTTGGTAGCTTACCTGAATTTTCAGGACAGAGTAATTAGAGTGCCATGTTACTGCGATAACCGAACTGTCTTTGTTTATTTCGGAATGCACTCATATTTATTTTGTTAAAAATTCCTGTGCAAATTATAGATCGTATCAGAAAACGGGGAGGCACCCCTTGTGTCACATGAGTCCAAGTTCCGGGAGACGACCCTGTACCTCACCTCTTCGCATTTACTGATCGCTTCAACGTCACCCGGATCCCAGACTATCTGTTTGACGCAATTTCAACATGTGCTTCCCCTATGCCAATTGTGGTGTAGTAAAATTACTCTGGATGGAGAGAACGAGAGCATACTCATCAATGAAGGTCAAAATGTCATTTTAACAGCGGACATGACGGTGCACGCTCCAGTTAGTTTGAATTCTAGCAGCTTGACGGAGTCAGAGGAAACTGTGGGTGTTTCATCCGTGGTGGGTGATGCTACATCCAGTTTCGGCTGTATGCAGACCTTCGTACTCGGAAGTTCACTTACTGAAAATTGGTTATTACGCTTTCCTGACAAGGTTAAAATGGAACGTTGGTCCGCTTATTTACACGAGTAGGTGTTCACGTTTTTCTATTTCATAAGGTGCTTTTCTCGTGAGCTCTGGCAATACGAATAGCCGTCGCTGGACGCGTTGTTTCGGTGAATTACCTGTTACTACGGTGGGTGGAGCTATCTTACTCGTTTGTTCAATGAAAGGCGACGGCATTACACCTACCGCAACTGCGCATCGAGCCTGCTACAACTATCAATACAGCACATCAAACACGGTTTAACTGTTGAATGTGTACAAAGCTGCTGGACAAAGGTGGTTGCGAAAATACGGTAGTTGAATGGGTCAGGGTAGTCAAAATGGGAAAACTCACCGTTTCAAAGAGTACTTTAAATTACCGATTCATAAAGTTATCTGACACACCCGTATTGCTATTCAGAACTTTTAAGATGGTTGCATTTTTGGCGGAGGCCGACCCTTACGGACGCTAGATAGCTATGAGTGCAGTAATGGTTAACATGAAGTACTATCTGTAGCATTGATTTTCTTACCAAAAGAAGTGGCTCAATTTGTAAGTGATGCATCGTACTTCCTGAAACTCCTAATATACTTTGATTTTTGCTTAACAATTTTGCGTACGACTAATGTGATGATTAGCTATGGAATTACAACGGCAATTCAAATACATTATTGAATAGACAAAATATAGTAGATTTGCCCAAAATGCTTCTATGCTGACAGTTTATCCAGCAGGCTTTGGCAAGTAATAATCCCTACTTTGAAAGTTATCGCGTGCATTCTGTGTTGCAACTACTTATACTGGATAGATGGATAAAAATTAGTGTAATGATTAAAGCTCATATGCAAAGGCACTAAAAACGTCAGAGTCACCATTAATCAAACAGTATCTTGGTTGCTTTAATAGTAAGCTACTTAAGTCTCCTAATTATCCTTTTCCATTTTCCCTCTTCAGTGCAATCAGTTACAATCAAAGGACACTGATTGGTCGTACTCTGTATATAAAAATGATGAATCAGGTCGCAGATAATCAAGTGAGGGGTAAATTCAATTATCTTTTAAATGAGCTACTATATCTGGGTGAAGCGTTATGCGCTGCTGCTCATGGTGACAAATATTCGTGGTGCTGGTTCTCAGGACAGCTGCTCTTTGCGCAATATCGATCATAAGTGTTTTGCTTGATCACACGCTGCATACATATAACGGCAGCATCCAATCTATAATACCTACCCATATATCTAGAAACACGTTCTAACCCATGTTGTTATGGATGATTGATATAAGGTTACGTGCCTGACAAAACCTGGTTATTCTGTTCCTGCTGCTGATGTATCCCACATTGTACACGAGTATTCGAGTTCGTTCACATCCAAGCGGTTGGCAAGCTGGCATCTGCTTCTACCATATAATTAACGCAAAGCAACCAAACTGATTTTTGGGGACTAGTACAATCAGTTGCTAGGATATCGATATTACTACCATAATGGGTCGATAGCTAGAAACAGTTTACGACTTGCGTCCGCTTCGCTGACATTTTGACTACCAGATGGTCATAAAGACAAACCATTGTTCACTTATTTCATATCCCGAATAAAGTTTGAGTTACAGCATTCTACCTAAACTTATAGCTGTCCTTCTGGAATAAAAGATTAATCGTTACTCACGAGGGAAGTGGACATTACAAGGAGTACACTGATCAAGCATGTAATTTGTGATGCCGCAAGTGTATCCGACCTTTAATGTTAAATGTTTATGATATTACACAAACGTAATTGACTTATGACTGAGTCACTACTGTTTCTTTAAGCAAAGTTCTAAAATCACAGCGCCAGAGAGCCTTGTTTTGTAAATACACCCTGTAATCTTAATCAAGTTTTGTGTACAAACTCTGCAAGACTCGCGTACTCGCTCGATGGAAGCTCCGTAGAACACGTTTAAAATGATATGAGGGACAAGATAACTAACGTAGGAGGTTGCATTGTCTCATAAACAATTTTGTTGTCGCTACTGCAGATCCGGCACTTGATATAACGAAACTGTCACACGCTTCTTTTCCGTCGAATAGCCAATGCTCTAGTACGGTTGACTTAACCATAGTCCATTCACCGGTGCGAGTTTCAAATATCGGAATGCGTACAGAAAGGCGGCACCGGGATCATCCTACTTAGCGGGTATGTCGTAACAAGACCGATACAAGCAACTGGAGCTGTGTACCCTGACATATCGTCGGTTTCGTGTGGACCTAATAAGGACGCACTGGGGATTACGTGTTAGTGACCATTTTATGCTGAGGCCGCGTTTGCATGTGCGCGCACTAAGCAGCGCTCGCGGGTTCCGGTACAACCTTGTGGTAACGGACATGAAGCGGATAGTTTAACATCTATGCTTTGAGCGTCGAGTGCGGAATTAGGGGAGCAGTTTGTCCGAGATGATTGTCGCGCAGAAATCGGTGTCGGAATGCAAGAAATACCTAAGCAACCAGTTACGTATTACAGACTTTTAGAACTCACCTCACCTTAATAGAACGTCGTCTAGCCGAACTGCGTTGGCAGTGCGCGGTAAGAATGACGTTATTCCACATGCTTGCCCAAAGGTAGGATGATGACGCTACATTCATGTATATATTCCAGCTCGCTGTTCTCAGTATTAAGTAGCTTACAGTATATGTGCGTCAGAATAATGTCACATAGTATCTAAGGTGGCGGCACTCAGTTGTCTATCTTCTATGTCAGCAGGACTGCTACCCACATGAGCCGCATTGAATTGCAAAGAATCAGTGGACGTATTTGTTATAATTTTTCCAAATATGGAAGCGACTCCATTTGCTTTACAAGGCAGAAAACTTGGTTTTATCGCATGATGACTAGATGTGCTGTAATACAAGACGTAGAACATGCAAAAAAGCGAATATCATCCTATCTGAAACTGTATCAGCGGCTTAAGCTATCTGGGTAATTTTAGCTAGAGTGAAAAGACTACGGTCCATAGGAAATCGCGACACGGCTGTTCTAATTGACGTTTACAATTTACCTACACACATCGCCAATGGGTAGACGTTATTAAGGTTATTCTAAGAATAAATGTAGTAGATGCATTAACTAGCGCAAAAGTATGCGAATTTAGGGAACAAGTGGATCGCGCGGGGTATCCATCACATCATTCAGCCACTTGGGAAATATTCAGACCAATGGTACGCAACTCACTGGCTATGGCGTAAATCTTTTGCTAACATAGTTATTCCTGAATACTAACAGTGTTGGTGATCATGGCGACCTCCACAACGGCAACAAAGATATGCATAAAACGGCGGCAAGTAGTTGACGTGCTGTTGTCGAATACTAATGTGTATTCAGCATTCATGCGCCCTAGTCTAAACGTAGCAGTGGAGCACTCACTGTAATTTTGTTAGAAACTGATCAACTTTATTTGACAGTTGGATAATACATAGCGGAATCAAGAATTTACTAACTAAAGTTGGAGCTCCGTTCAACCTGTAGAACAATATCGTAACTTTATTGAGTGACCTAGTGAACAAAGAACATGGCTGTCAAATTGAGTAGGAAGCGACTGGTTTCTCGTTACGAATGGACCATTAAGTTCCTCTTGTTACGCCCACTAAAACTCAAATCAGAAAACCCAGTTGGACTGTAAAGCACATGTTATCCAACCCACAAGAAATCACTTTGTTTGTATGTTTGGCAGTAACTGTTTCGAGTTACTTAGCACTGCGACTGTGGACAGCTACAGAACAACTTCGCCAGAGTAGGGAGCGTGGCTGACATGTGCTGCAACGGTCACAGCTCCATCGACACTAAGTTTACGTTGTAAACACAAAGAAATAAGGCTTGATTGCGTGCTAGGATTGATCCGGAGCCGGCCCACACTATTTTAACATTTGCAAACTTCCTATGCAATCGGTGAAACATGAATGTCAAACGTACATAGGACGGTGCCTGAGTAGGAACCAATTCCTCACTGGATGGGACGGTCACGAAGATCGTGCACACCGTTTACCCTGGCGACGGTCATCAGTCCCCAGTACTAAGTAATCGGGGTGGCGGTATTCGAAAAACAAGCATCTTGTCAGCACTTACAGCGGGCACAGTTATCTTTGCTCTTTTAATAAGCAAACATCTTAAGTAAGATAAACTAAGCTCACGGCACACATAAAGACTAACATCAACTGTTATATACCGCATGTGCCACATCGAGTGCATTAGTAAGTAGAATCGGAAGCAGTGCACCTTCCCATCATTGTTAGTTACTTATGTACTTTACCTGAAGTCTCTTCGAGGCTTCCCGTCGTGGCCACCTTGATGACTTATTAGGCCGACTCGGCTGATGCACACACGACCACATGTGCTACAACACTAGGTGCATGAGTTTGTTGGGCTTAGCAAAATCGGTATCTGTCGATTGTACAACGGTCGTTTTTCTTTCTGATGCGTCGGTTCTTATGATGCACATGGGAAACGGCATTCTTGATGTAACCAATCCACTGGTGTCGACTACGCACCATTGCTGCTCAACAACTGAAATCAACAACACATCTCGATAAGCGCAAAGTTAACATTTCTTGGTAAGGTAGCTTTGTCTAGCCCACGTTCCGCCTCGCTGTACTAAGTTGACCGTATCGCAGGTGGTTCTCTATATACTCGAATCCATGCAGCACTCATGTCTGAGCCATCTGGGATGTGGCAATAACAGCATACACTCCATTGTCTGCATACCAATCCGTAGGAGCACCTCTGTGTAGGGGTTCCGTCATTGATATGACGAATGCACAGAACCCGACGTAGGTATTTCTGAGGAAATCGTTTCAGAAAGCGGATATCCGTCTTGTAAAACGTACTTATTTCTTTACCATAGACATGAACCGCCGGAACAACTGATTTATAAACCATAAACAGTTTCAAAATTTAGCTGACGTTCTCTCCCCACCCGATGTTTTAGCTTGCTGAAAACTGTACACGTATTTTCGTTCGTCGCAATCAGCCGACTACCTATCCGGAAAAGCACCAGACGGCGGTTCGCCCTATTAGGGCTTGTCAATCGTGCGCATCCTTCGGTCCTCTACGGAGGATCGAACCCATGACTGCTAGTGGCTTGTGCCAACTAGCCCGCAGCTTATGCAACTGCACCATGGAGGATGGTAGTCGACCATCACGAATTGTTAGCTGACTGTGATATAGCCCGACCCATCCTCCACTGCCATGCAGGCACCTGCTATGCAGATGACAGCGGTTGGCCTTCAGGCGTCAGGACTTCCCGGTTACGGCAGCTATGAATCGATATAGCATTTATGGAATCCGTAAGGGCGAAGTTGTATTACTTATGCGAAGCTCAAGGGTCATCCGCATGCTCCCTAGGTAGCAAAATTGTGATAAGTTGTGCACAACTTCCCCATAAATTTTGACTTGCTGGGAGCCCACTCATCCCATTTCTAGTGATGACTGAATTGACAGGCAGTATAACCGGTGTCCTTGGTGAGTCCGAACTTGGCTGTCGTTGCAGCGCGAACCGTCGTCATACATTGCAACTCATCCTGGTTGTGTGCAAAGAAGGTTCAGTTGTAAGAAACCAACAATGATTGGATGATTGTCTCAAACACTCGTTTTCGCTCTGCGTCTAGTCTAGCTCTGCTATAGGCCTCTTCCGCTACCCTGCAGGAGGCAGTGGTTGGCCATCCGATGTCAACACTTCCCTACCAGTAGCCTTGAATCCACACAGTGGTTTGCGGACGGTTAGGGCTTAATTTATGCTACTCATGAATATATACCATTGGTGATTTTTATTCGGTTCATCAATTTATATCAGCCATGATCCATGCAGCCCTCTGATAATTCCAAAGAGCATCCCGAAGATGAATACTTCACTTTTGTCCCGCATTGCAGGCACCCCGTCTATGTGGAGTTGACTAATTGCCGTAGTCAATTGAAAAGCACAATTCCACAGCCTAATCAAACTCGTTATCCTAATGGATCGTATGTGGCTACGTATTTACTGAAATCTCGCGCATGATTATCATTTTTGCGTAGTTGCAGAACCTACCGTTTTTCGGTCGTTTCCTATACCTTTCTATATCTTAGCAATCTTCTAATTCTTACTCGACATGGACTGTCGCCTGATTATCATACAAATTGTTCGGGTTTCGCCAAACTAGACAACCTACCAAAAGCACGAAAGCGGTGCTTCCATTCCCTGTGTTCTGTAAAACGGTATGAGCTGGATCGTCTGCCAGCTGCATAGGCCTTTCCGTTAAGAGATATATAGTTTAACCAAACATTAAGAGCAAGTTCTAAAGAATGTTTTACAACACCGATGTGCATATACTATTACAAATAAGGTTACAAATAAGCACATCAGCAGATGAAGGTAGTGGGATGGGACTCATTCCTTGCATTCGCGTCAGCCACTCACATGCAAATAACGAAGGAACAAAAATATGGTAACGAAATGGATTGGTGGTATTCTGATTGATGCATTAATCGCTACCACCGTAGGCTTAATGTTACTTTCAGCTGTTTTTGAACACAGGGTGTTTGGTGCTGTCGATCAAAAACAATGTCCTCGAGTAGCTTGAGTATATGAAGCCTTTGACTGTGCATAAGGACTGTGAACGACTCACCCGGCTTTGTCTAGTGACGGTGTTCATCAAATTCCTCGTTATTTCTATGGTAACCTTGCTGCTAGATTCATATGATGCAACCGTGTCCTGCCCCATTCTTTCACGTAATGCGTTCATTGATGCGAACACCTGTATTTTGATCTGTGCTCCCAACATAGCTGTTCTCATACCTACATGTAAATTGTATGAACAGGGGGACACCGGTGTCTTCACTGAACACTTAAGCAGTGATCTTGTGAACATGATCTGTTGTAAGTTATGCCTTTTTCTTTGAGGCGCTTATTCTTTCGCACTAGTCTTTATGAATTTGTCACTTCGGAAAGGTAGTTCCAAGAACAGCTGATTCTTTTGTATTGTTACCACTCGACCGCGTTTAATCGGCTCATTGAAGCCCTTTATAAACTGCAATGGATAACCACTAGATTGTAGCACGGCAGACAGCAGTTCTCCCTCTGCTTCCAGTTTTACCTGCGCTGCAAGTCACATCAGCTGGAGCGAACGAAGTTCAAACTTGTGCTGTACCGGCGAGATGCAGTTAAAATGCATGTTTTGACCCGTTCAGGTCGCTTTCCCCTAGACTCACCTTTGGACTGAACCATCTGGTCGTCGTGTTCGCACTGTGTCTAAGCACGGAAAACCGTTTTCCTGCTCAGTTTCCCGTGTTACAGTAAGATTCCGGTGCACATAATCAAAAGCTTTGGTTGCAAGTGTGATGTCTTTGTCAGAATCCAAGTATATCAAAAACCTAGTGCTTGTATAAACTAGCTGATTTGATGGTTGTTGTCTACTTTCTCTTCAATCATGACCATGAAGATGTCCACGAGCAACAAACTCAATCCACTGCCTATTGCCACACCATCGATCTTTTTCTTAGAAACAAAACTTGACAATTTTTGTGCAGAGAAGGAGTAGGTTTTTTAAAATTTCCGTGGGCAGCCGTGATCGCATGTTGCTTTTTCAAGTAAACGCACGTAGGTGGTTTACGATCACATTCAACGGAACGTTGCTAAAAAGCAACCGCAATTTAAGTGAACACAGACGCATTTAGACAAAGCTTATGCCTTAAAAATAGGTGTTCTAGCGAGTGTGTTTAAACAGAATCTTCTCGCTGACTCAGGCAGGCAGTTCAGCCACTTAGAAATAGCGTGGCACTAGCAATTATAGAAGAACTTCGTTTCTAATATTATTAAGATTTGCAGATTCACTTTGCTTTATACAATCGTCTTTTAAGGCAACATGCCGCAGTATTTTATCGATGTTGTTGTGTCAATTGTTAAATAAAACGTTTTAACTTACGATCTATTTTACCGCTTCGCCAATGCATTCTCGGCGGAATTTCGTAGTCCTTTATGCTCACGGAAAGTACCTACTTATAAGTGGAACAATGTTGTCACATCTTACATGGATGCCAGCCTTCAAGTGGAGACTCTAGCACTTTTGTCAACAACTACTCTTTTTCCTTCTATTATGGTTGATAATCCAGTCCGCCAGTGCTCTTAGTCTTTTGTAACTTCCACGATATTACTTATGAATTTGTACGGAAGCTAGCTAAAGTTCGAAAATTTGCCTTCCAGGTATAGGAGTTTGCCGAGCTGTTGTACTTGATGTTCAAAACTATAAAATAGCACTCAATTTCGGTGCGACGTGGCATGCTCCTGGCCCCAAGCAAGCTAATTGTTACTGATCATATCATTAAGTTCTAAAGGATTTTGGAAAACTATTTCAATTACTTTGTATATAACGCCAGAATGATGCTAGGGAAAGTTTGCATTCTAGGTCATTTCAAAACCAGAATGACCGACGAAATTTGTACGACTAATAGTTAACATGAAAGGTTGTGTAAAGCTTTGCGACATTTTGTCTGTGGAATTCAGCAGCGATAACTAAGTGTGGGTTGACCACTATATTTTCAGTTTTCATCTTCATGTACAATAAGACTCCTTTCAAGGACTATGAGATTTCAGTGCACTCTCGCAACCGAATGAAGAGCGATAATTTATTTGCACTTAATTAAGTTGTTTTCAAACAATCTTACAAGTATTTTATTCACCTGTTTCTTTCCAGGTTGTGTACAAATATCAAAAAGTATATCTCACAACATCGGTCAAAGAACTGAAAGAAAGTGCAATGGACTCAATGAACATTAATGTAATTTTTAGTGTTTATCTTCTAGCCAACATACTATTTGGTTACCTATAACTACACAGCAAGGGCCAGGGCGATTTATTTTATGTAATATAACTTATGCCAGTCACGTTCAATGTATTTTGTATGTGTTCCAAGATGTTCAAACAAAGAACATCAACTAGTTATTTGCACCATTTCCATTGGCAAATAATGTATAGAAAATTACCGGATAGGTTAGTCTCTACTCATTTTGCCCAAACACTTCGCAAATTGTCACATCGTACACATTTGCGGTGAAACTACATTCCACGAGTTTGACAAATGCCAAAATTTCATATGACCTATTAAAAGACATTATAATAGTTTGGTCATATTATTTGTATTAACGTATTATGAGTAGCATACCTCTATCAGTGTTGGACATGACCCGTCGAAATCCGCCTGGTTGCATGGTACAACCAATTTTAGCTAAGTTTGTACACTTTGTTTTAAAAGATAAACTGTAGCTGTTTTTCCAATAGTGCTTTCATCATTAAATTCTGTCCACCGAAGTCTTACGTCAGGCAGCTGCTTGCAAGCACCAGACATGGTTAAAGCGGAAGATTAATAAAAAATGTTATCTGTTAGGGGTGCAACCCCGACTTACTTATAGAAAAGTATGAATAGAGAGTACAGAATTGGTATGCGGCGACAATATGGGCCCCATATTTTAACAAAGTGCAGACAACAATTGAATCCTTGCGCGCCAAGCAGGCGAATTTGTAACAGTCTCTTGGTTGAAACAAGCTTAAGTGGTGAATTAACATCAAAAATCTAGGTTTATACTATACCTAAGCTTTGAATGCATGAATATTTATTTCACCTGCATATGTACAGGAGATGGGGCACTAGAGAAAACCAAAGCTGGGGACTTCATTTATCCAACCCACCGGTATACTCATATTTTTATAGGCTGTCGGTAACTCATTAGTTGGAGTGAGAACGAAGGTACACGCAGGAAAGTAATAAGTAGCCGTTATCTTGTATGCCAATAAATTCAAGTTTTTTGGGCAGTGAGTGAGTTTTTAAAATGTGTAAGAGCGTAGGATGCAGAAATGTAGAAGCAAGTGAAGTATGGTGTAACCAATCCACCCAATTAAAAAATGTTGTTAATATAGGAATTTTGCTTAAAAGTCAAAGGGTGAAGTCGACAGCATGCACCTCACCACATTTTGTGGTAATAAGCACTTTCTTTCCATTGCTAACTGTCTTTTTCGTATCATGAATCCCAACGGTACTTAGGAATTAGCGATCTCGTTCATATGAGCAAGTGACGCGATGAGATCCCTTTAAATCTCCAAGGGTTGCGTGCTCTTTTCTTGCCATCTTTATTATTCTAGCCGTAGATGAACGTCTGACGAATTTCGACAAGCGGTTTCATAGCATGGGATACAGAAGCGTAAGAAATTCAAATATCGGAAATATGTATAATCGTGTTGGTTTTATCACAGTCTGCTTTTCTTAGGCTGTGTGGTGCAACATTTTCGAATGCCTGCTGATAACGACTCGTGTGTATCTGTCAGTTAGCAATATTGTAAAGGAGACAGCCTTGCCTTTTTATTCATCGAAGCCATAGCAGACAGTTTGCATATTGCTTTCTCATATAGTGATGGCGTCTCTGTGTTGCCTTATCTGCACTAGTGTCGTGGTGTACATTATCACTAGATTGGAAGCCAAATGTTTTAAAAGTTGCTAGCATGTATTTAAAATGAAATAAGCTTCATTGGGAGTAAATCGGCAGGCTGATCACTCCAATTGTTTGTCATGTCTTATCCACGGAATCATCAGCTTGTTTCCTGAAGTTAAACGAAGTCGTAGGATGGAAGCCTAAGTCGCGCATTGAGTCAGATCAACGACGCTGTGTCATATAAACGAAACCTTTAGATTGAATTCTGAATTCATAATACATGATGCTACACGTAGATGCTGCATAGTTTAAGCATGAGTTAGCAGGATGCAGTTTCAGTAGAGGCAAACATAAAATATTTGAACTATCAAAAACATGTGTGGATCTCCATTTCTGATGGCGAAATAATATTTACTCATATTAGAGAAAACCATGGTATTGTGTGCCTGGTGTAATGTGATACCTGTAATATTTCATACGCTAACAGTTCAAGCAACCGATCAAGCAGTTAAATTGTGTTTCGGTTTTGGTGCCTTGTCTAGTTCATCAACTGAAACCAACCTGGCATATCGCTTTGATGACTTGAATATTTTTCTAAGCAAACAACTCAGACACACTTGGCTTACGGTTCGCCCACCGATACTTGTTGGTACTGGCTTCCGAGAAACATATGGCTTCTTCATCATCTTAAAATATGTGAACCTACAACAAATTTACTCTTGCTGCTCTAGTGTAAAAGCCGAAGGATATGTTTTTAAAATGCCATGGGTTGCAGCATATTAATAGAAGAAATGCGGACTATTAAAGATTATTCGGATAAAGGATTAACGCAAACGATACGATTCTAGCCTACGGTAGTAAACTAAAAATTACAACACTAAAGAAACATCATTTCAAGGGAATGGTTATTTTAATCCGTCTGCAGGACTTGCGAAACAATATGCTGTGACGTTTTGATTTCAAACAGTTAGTTTGCTTTTGTAATTTGAAAACCACAAATACAGACATTTCGTTTTGCCTCCTCAGGACCTTTAACACTAACTCGCAATAACATTTATTCAGGAGTGGGTGCAGCCAAATAGATTTGGCTGCATCCGGTCCCGGATTTGACGGTCGATGTGTCCTCCATAGGACAGCCACAGGATGCTTGCGCCTACGGAGGGGCTATGAGTGGCTTGCGCTGCACCACTCACAGTCCCACCCACACATCCCATAAACCCGAAGGTATAAGACCGGGACGCATGTGGATGGGAGCCACGGTACATCAACGGTGCCGGCCCATACTCCTGCACCGGCAAAACCCTGCACGCTGTATTTTGGGAATCAAGCGCACACAAGGCGCTGGCTGGGCCTTAGCCCGTTCCACACAGGATGGAACCACTCTTTGAAACTAGCATCGTCCCGAGCAGCGTGCACCTCGTCCCCTCCAGCAACGAGCAACTATATCCTGCGGCCAGTATTTACAAGTTAGTGGGTACTAGACAGGTAGGCACCCTGTCAACATGCACAGCAAAGCGTAACCACACCGGGGATGTCACGCAACAGCCAATCACTTAGAATGACGATATCAAATAAATTAAACCAAAGCAGGTATACAGATTTGTCGACTTAACTCTTCCGTAAATAACATTTGCTATAAACTCGTTATCAACTTATTCGCGATAAACCCAAGATGGCCAAAAAAGAGATCAAACGTCAAAAATTTGATGAAATTAATCACCTTTCCTCCAACCTACGTGTGTTAGTACATAGAACCTTATTCAGGTAGACATTAACATAAGGATGATAAATAAGTATTAACAAAACATAGCAAACCGATCACCAGAAATAAAGAAAGACAGTACGCAAGGAAACGGTTTGTAAGTTGAATGCACCGTAGCTACCTGCGCTGCGCCGGCTCTGCTTACGTGCTCAGCAGGACCCGCCGTCTTTTCGACGCTGGTCCCGAGCGACACCGCTTGTGGCTCACTAGGCCTGCCTGATTCAGACATTCGCGACCGCATGTGTTACAGCCTCATGCGTTCGACATCGATGAAGTACACCTCATGGGTGCCTGTCGCTTCCGCACCTGCCGCTTCTTCTCCCCATGCAAGATGGCTTTCTCTTGCACCTCGGTAACTGCCTTCGTGATAAGATCGCGCCATGCACGCCGATCAACCGCCTTCGATTACCATGACCTGCAATCAATATTAGAACTTGAGGGGCTCAGTTTGGTCATGTCCTGGTAACGAAGCTTCGGTTTCCCCACATGCCGCTTCCCAGTACTCACCTGACCATATAACAGTTGTTTCGGTATCTGCGTTGAATCCATACAGCTCACATGACCAAGCCACCTCAGGTGTCTCAGCAAAAGTATGCGGTCCACTGCATACATCCCACTTCGAAGCAACACTTCCGTATCAGCAACTCTGGTGCACCAACAGATGCGCAGAATCCGTCGAAAACATGGTTGATGGAACCGCTCGAGATATCGCACATACCACCAGCACATCGTCCACGTTTCACTGCCGTAAAGAAGAGCGGACAGAGCCATGGCTTAGTGCACCATTAGATTCATGCCAATGGTAAGCTGGTAGTTATTCCACACTAGATACTCAAGCTCCCCGAACACCGCCGCTGCCTTCGACACGCGGATACCCAGTTCAGTGGGTAGTTGCTGGTCAGTCGAAATCATACTCCCAAGGTAGCAGAAGCGGGAGGTGGTTTCCAAAACCTCAGCACTAAGGCTGATTTGCGGCAAAACTGCAGATTGCACATCCGGTCAAAGTTGAAAGAGACAGACAGTTTTGATTGTGTTGATGGCGAGCCCTAATTTGGCCTCTGACAAAGCCAGAGCACCAGTCATGTGTTGCAACTCGTCCGAGCTCTATGCACACAACACATCGTCGTCAGCGAACAGCAATATCCAGGGAGTTGTCACACAGACTAGAATTCTTACACCGAAACGACGGCTGTTCAGCCTCCCACCATCCATACCAGGCTCCACAAAACACCGTAAGGCACAAGCAGCAGCAGAAGCACAAGGCATCACGGCATGAAGATAAACATTAAACAGGGCAGTAGATAAGACACAGCCTTATTTCATACCAGAGAGAACTACAAAATCATCCGAGGTCTCTTCATTCAACTGCACCCTCGCTCGCTTACCACTGTGCAGACGTACACATAAAGTTACAAACTTACTCGGACAATCAAGCTTACCCAACCTCAGCCACAATGCCTTGCGGTTCACCGTATCAAATGCTTCGATGAAATCAACAAAAAGTGAGTACAATGGCTGGTGTCGTTATCTGCACTTCTCTTGCAACTGGCGACTCGCAAACACTATATGGATGGTGCTGCGACTCGAACGGAA